TTTTCATTTCCCATTCGACCACAAAACAAAAACAAACAAGCGAACAAAAACTACCATGGCGGGTGCCTAAATAACAGTGCACACTTTTGTGGGACCGCTATAGGCCTACTTACAAACTAAGGGAAATAGCACGGGGAATTTTCTACATGAAAATCTCTGGATTATGTCTACTTCGCACTTAAGCACGCTTCGGCTTTAAGCACGCTTAAGCTTTCTCCCGATGACCGTGCTTAAAGCCGGCATGGACTGTATATTGATTGACATACCCAATACAAAATTTTATACAGTTGTGATCCTGGATATTTTGAATAGGAAAAAAGTTGGGAGATGGATAACTGACCTACCCCTTCTCTGAATTCCATAATCATACATGTAACTCACTTATGAATACATCGATTTTCTTTTCCACCTGTATAAAGCTAGGTTATGGTGTGCATAACAAGCCCTGAAAATTGCATTGGAATCAAATAGAAAATTAAAAAGTAGATGAGAAAAACTATCAAAAATTGAAGTTTTGAGAAAAAACAACTACATTTTGTTACATAATAATATGCCAAATAAAAGTTCAAGGACAGAAAATCTGAAAGATGTTGATTGTAACAAAAAGCGTTGGCATTTTTTTTAGATTTACAAGTGGTTGAAGTGTGTTATAATTATAATACGTAAAAAGTCCAGACACGATAAATTGACCCCCAACTCGTCAAATTAAAACCAGCCCGTCCTCTAAAAAATAAAACAGATGATTTTAGCTGCAACAAGAAAACGCTGGGGGAGGGGCTAGTGTTATGTTGTCTGTGGAGTAGGTTTCATGGGAACCGTTTCTTGGTTTACTTTACTTCACTTTATCCTACCTCTTGTATCGAGGGGGGTGCAGTTTTCAGTCAAGGGCTAGGTGGATGACTCCATTTTTAAAAAAAAAAAATTTTTTTTTTGAGGACCTCTTTGAGGCCACGCAACTTAGTTTAAAGTAAGTAGTGTGCCCCTGCCCTTGTGTCCTGACACTTTTGACTTGTATTCTCGTGCAGCTGGGTTGCTATAATATATGGGCATTCTCATCAGATCAGCGGACCTCTTTATTCTTTGATCGTGTTTTTTTTTTTTTTTTTTTCTGTTCCCTGGCCGGTTTGATCCCATTTGAAAATTCCGACAGTTTCATTCCTTTTGCCATCTAGCGTTGTGACGTAGTGAGCCTTTCTTGCCACCATAACAAAAACATCCTTTTGAAAGACCGCCCTTACGGAACGAGTTGAGGACAAAAAAAGGGTTAAAAAGAAATCATTGAACAAATAGTAGCACCGACAACTGGCCAACCCTAAAACTTCTTCATCTCTGTCTCCAATTAATTTACCTTCAACTTCAACCACAATGTTACCCAGGGCCATGGGACACAGAGTTGTCGTAGTCTAAACAGCCGTATGCACTGCTCACCGTCGAACGCTCCGTATCCCGGACTCTAGCATGGAGATCATCAGGAGAGAATGCGTCGCTGTTTCGGGCTCTTCCTCTCTACAGCTTTTCTGACGCACCGAGCCCCCTCACCGATGTGAGGTCTCCATGTTAGTTCGACTGTTTTCC